CAACCTGGTCTGGTGGGAGGTGTCCCTGCCCAGGGCAGGGGGTTGGGACTGGATGGATCTCTGAGGTCCATTCCAAGCCTTTCTATGAAACTGTCCTTCAATACTGAGGTCTCCTGGCATGGCACAGACAAGGGAACAGATTCCCATCAGAGGAGGGAGCTTCTTTCCCTGCTCCCTGGTCAGCAGCCAAGTGCCTCCAGCCCATCCCACAGCCGGAGATGCTCCCAGGAACAGCACAAGGCTGTGATTCAATCCATGGGCTCTGCCGAGGTCGTGGCAGCAGCCAGACCTCAGCATGAGCCCTGGGAGGAACTGGAGCTGTCTGGCCCCTGGGCTGCCCTTTCCCAAGCTGCAGGAGGAAGCTTTGTTCCAGCCCTTTCCCCATGGCCATCACCCTCCCTTTTGATGTGTTAGCAATGGAGTTGCACAACGAATGGATGGAAAAGTTGGCATCCCACAGGAAGGGCCCCAAGCAGCCACAGTGTTGGGTAATGACATTTGGCAGTTTCCTTGGTTTATTTTTGAAGTTATATTCTTTATTAAAGCCCAAGAGCACTGTTGCCTTGGCTGAAGGCACAGGAACCTTCCCAGATTGAGTGGAAACCTTCCCTAGGATTCCCTGCACCAGGATAGGACTCTGCCACTGTGAACATCTCTCCATGGCTGGGAAGTCATGACTACAGGGAAGAGCTCTGCTGCAACATTGCTGCCCCTCAAGGGCTGTGCTCCTCCTCACCATGGAGGACCCCTTGGAGCAGCCTAATTTATTCCCCTGCTTGAGCTACCCACTGGGAGAAGACTCAGAGAACAACAAAGCCACTTCTCAGGAGTTTCAATCCAGTTGAAGGGTCTTTCAAGTTTGTTCAACAGTGACAGAGTCCCTTTGAACTCTATAGCCACAGAGGGGGCCGTGAGAAACAAAAGCCTGTTTACCAGAACACGATGTCCCAGGTGGAAAACATGGCAAATTCTGCAGGAAGTTCAAAGAAAATAATAGAAAAATCCACCCAGGATGACATAAATCCCCTGGTTTTTGGCTGGGAGCATTGTGCAGGGCTGAGCAGAGCTGGTTCCCCTCCCAGGAGGAGGAAGGTTTCTCGTTTAGAAAGAGGAACCCAATGGGTAAGGAAGTGCCTGGCCAGTGACTCCTGCTCTGTTTAGCAATCCCTGCAGGATGCTATTCTGTGAACACCCCAAACAACTGCTTGTCTGGGGCTCTAAATACTCGAAAACAAGTTAAGAAGAGCAATAATTGAAAAGGAAATTAGTACAAGGACCATAAGACTACTACAGTGGCTTCATGGTTTGACTCAATGACCTTAAAGGTCTTTTCCAACCTGAATGATTCCCTGATTCCACTGACACTGCTGGACTTGCAAGATACTGTCATATGGAATAGATTCACATGGAATATCATTCAGCTATAGCTGCTGTTTATGTCACTGTGGCTGCAGTGTCCTTTGAGGGAAGGGTTTATCCCCCTTGGTGGGTTACAGCAGATGTGATGGATCACAGGCTCCAAAGGGCACACCCAACAGAGACACAACAGAAAAATCCCACAGCCGGTGCTGGGAATGATGAGGAATTCTCTGTGAAGTCTCCCCTTGTCTTCCCTGATATACCTCATTCCATGTTTGAGGAAAGCAAGCAGCAAGGAGGTCTTTCCCAGGGATGGATTCTCCTCTTTTTCATACCAAAATCCATCTCAACAGGGTGGGCCAAGCAGGAGCATCAGCAGATGCTCCTGCTGCTGATCTGAGGGACGAGCTGTCACCCGTTTATTAATGAAATGAAATCGAGTTTTACCCCCTAGCTCAATACCTCTATAACCTCCAGGAACAACATAACCCAGCCTTTTCCAACCATGTCACCAAGCTCTGCTGGAGGGGAACTATGGGGGTCAATGAGTCCAGGATAAAAGAAATCAGGTTTTTCAAAGATAAACTCTGAGACTGAGCTGTGGCTGACCAAATTCAACATGTTTTGTCATTTCATGCTGGTACCTGGTTCAGTTTCTTCCTAAACCTATATTGCCAAGGAGACACTGGTGAGATCCCCATGAACACATGGGATCAATGCCAGAGCCTGCAGGTTAGTACAAGAGAAAAAAGATCCTCAGCAGCAAGTGAAAAATCATGAAAATTCATCAAAAGCAAAGCAAGCAAGTTAAGGATTTCATTAAGATCAGTTAATTAATAAAAAAATTTCTCAGTGTGACATCTCCTCTTTAAAACCAGTGTGAAAGGTTCACCAAGAGGACTCTGTGCAGTGATGGTCTTCATCACTGATGAAGGATGTATCCAAACCAAGCAACCTCCCCTGCCTTTGGGAGGTTTGGACCCATTTCTGAGCTCTCTGTGGATGGGACCTTGGTGCTAATTGACATTGGGTTGAGGTGGTTGAGTGTTAAATCCCTTTGCTTTGCATCATATGTAGTTCTGCTGGTGTTAGCACTGAGAGGCCCAACGCTGCACCCAGGCCCTGCAGGAAGCTGCCCTGAGACCATCACAGCCAAAACACTGCAGACTGACTGGAAGGTGACAGAGTGAGGTCCTCTCTCCATGAAATAGGTCCAGCAGGAGCAGTGATTTCCCATCACCACCCTGCCAGAACATCACAGAGGATGCCAAAAATCAAGTTGATGGTTCATGACCTTATTTCTGCCAATGCCGCTCTGCAGGCACCAGATCTGAGATGCTTCAATTCATTGCACATAGGTCCCTGACCAGGCAAGCACTGGCCAAAAACTTTGGGTTCTTCTGCCCTGTAGATTCACCAAACCAGCTGCAAGTCCCCACAGGTTAACTCAGTTCCAGAAGAGCTCAGTGGTAACATAGGTGAAGCAGCACCTGAGCTGGTCTGAGCTGGTTTGGGAATCTACACACTGTGCTGCCATGGAATAAGCAACCTGACAGCAAAGGGATGATTGTCTCACCTACTCCTCCTGCACTGCCTCCAAGCAAGGCGTGTGGTTGGCAAAGCAATAGCACATAGACACTGTCACTGTCACACACACCTGGACACAAGCTGCACCTGCTCCAACACACACTCCAGTGCTAAAGAACTTCAAAGGACAAAGCTTAAGTCAGTACCATGGTGTCCTTCATGACCCTTCATCCAAAAGAACTCTCCTCTCTGCGGGGAATCCTGCAGAAAGCCTTAGCTCCTGGAGGTTCCCCAATTCCCAACAGCTGAGTTTACAAGAATATTGAGGAGAAAAAGCAGTGTAACAACCCACTTGAACAAAGCACAAGCACAAAGAGCAGTAACAGAGACCAAAGCGCTCACTTGTGGAAAGATGAATTCCAACTGATAGCTGAGCACAGAGGCACAATGAGCAAATTGTTCAACAGCTGCAGCTTTGCTGAAAAGGTGATGTTTTTGACCAAATAAAGCAACATATTCCTAAGAGGAGAGTTTAGACTACTTGGGAACTAGAGGAATTTTGGGGTTGCTCAGGGGATGGGACTGCACCACCCACAACAGCAAAACAGGATTTCACATGTGGATCATGGTTTGTGCTCAAGGATCACTCCTGGAACGAGAAGGGGGTGGTGGTGGGATCTCATCAAGCAAAGCCTGATGCATGAAGGAGGACCAGGCCCCCAGGCTCAGCTTCTTAGAGCAAAACATACCATCTACCAGCATTACCCAGAGGGTGCTGAGGCAGTGGCAGAAGTTGCCCAGAGAAGCTATGGTTGTCCCATCCCCAGAAGTGTTCCAGGCCAGGTTGGATGAGGCTTGGAGCAACCTGGGCTGGTGGAAGGTCTCCCTTCCCGTGGCAAGGGATGGGATGAGATGAGCTTCAAGGTCCTTCCAACCCAAACTATTCCATGATCTACAGCAGCCTGAGGTGACAGCCAGGCTCCAGGCATCCCAGGGGACCTGCCCTTTTCTACACCCCAGATCCAGCTGGTCCCATCTCCATAGCACATTCCAGATGAGACACAACATGCTGAAGGGCACAGAACCAGGCAATGTATGGACAGACCCCAGGGAACATGCCAAGGGAATCCCACCCTTTCCTTCTCTTTGCAAATGGTTTAGGGACAAACCTGGATCACACTGAGGGCAATGAGCAGGGCCATGTGGAGAGCATGACATTGCTCATCCCATGCTGGATGAAAGCCTGTCTACAGCAAAGCATGGAATGAGCAAGCCAAGGACTTGGCCTTCTGCTGAATGCTATTTCCTGGGTTTCTCAGGAGGAATTCCACCCTCAGGCCTGCACCTGCCCCAATGCTCATCCACAGGGCCACAGGATGGGCATTCTGGTGAAGAGCATCCCAGAGGACTGGCTCAATAGCAGGGAGATGGTTTGGATGTGAGAGTTACAATCCAGACTGTGGCAGGGGACCCCAAGTGCTCCAGTCAGGAACACGGTGAGTCAGACAAGGTCTCCCCACGTCACTTCTCTGACACTAATTCTGCTCTGCCTTGTCTTGCCTAAGCCACTGCCAGTGGACAGAGTCCACAGTGTCCAGCAGCACACGTTTTGGTATGAGTTTGTGTGTGTGTGTGAGCCAACATCAGCCAACCTTCACTTCCCAATTGCCCCCTGGGCCAGGTAAGGCAGGTGGGTGAGGCTCAGGACCACCCCATGGCTCTGGGACAGCCCCAGCCCCAGCCCCAGGCACATCTGTATGACTGGCAACACTCCAACCAAGCTCCTGAGCAGATCCACCCTCATCTGGGGGATCCCAGAGCCAGGCAACCCTACCAGAACTGAAGGACAGCCCTCAGTATCACACACACACAGATGCTGATGGGACAGGCAGGACCCCCTTGGAATTGCCCTTTGGAATTCCTCCTCCTGGCTTGTGTTCGTACCAAGAACTCATCACAGGGTCACTCATCTGCCAGGCTGGAGGGTGGTGGTGGAGGGGCTG